GTCTCAGTAGATCCTTATAGCGTTCCCAAGCTTCGAATAATGATTCACTTTCTCTTTGCTTAAATCCGTTGATCTGAGCTCTCAGCATAGCTGTCTTGCTAGGTGGAAAATACCTATTCAAGAAAACTCTCTTAAGTTCTTCCCACGTAGTTACTGAGTTCGAAGGCAGAGATTTAAGCCAAGCTCTTGCTCTGTCTCGAAGCGAAAAAGGAAATAAACGTAGTCTAATAGCTTCTTGGGTAACTCCATTGGCTTTTACGGTATCTGCATATTGCACAAAGATCGAAAGATGAAGATTCGGATCCTCGGTAGGATTCCCGGCGAATTGATTTTGTTGCACGGCTGATATCAACGAAGGTTTTAGTTCGAAATCATTTTGGTTGATAGTCGGCGCTGCAATGCTTGAATGCGGTTCAGCTTGCGAAGGATTAGCGTAATACTTGAGTGGATGAGTCTGTTCTTCAGCCATCTCTGTGTCCTTTGATTTTACGACTGGTTTAGGCGGATCTAATTGAAGATCTGGAATATTGTAATTATTTTCGAAATCGAATATACGTCTTCTTACGTGTAAGAAGCGTTCCGATTCAGGGATTAGAGGTTGCAAGTCTTCGCTTTTAGAGCGAGTACTTGGCATACACTCGGAGATTAGATTAAATTAAATAGTTGATACCTTAGTCTAGACAATGCTACCTAAATGCACTAGTAACTAAATTAAGGAATCCCCGGCAGCGGCGCCAAAAACTTGATGGGCTAAAGACGTGTCTACTTATGCGTCTAGCGGTATCTTACTGCAAGTGCACAACCTATCGAAGTAATATTTAAGATTATCGATCCACAGGGATTCTATGGCCACGTGTCACACCTTAATTGGTCAAAAAGATAAAATTCTGGAAAAAAAAAATCAACCAATTGCGAGCAGACACATGTCTAAATAACAAGAAAATAAGCGGGCAATGCAAAAGTAAAAAATAGAATCGAAAAATGCAAAAATATTTGAAAATGGGTAGGACAAATTTAGGGTATGACATATGCCCATATCTAATTGGCTTAAACCTATGGAAATGAACTGCTACAACGTTCGTTTTCTCGAGGTAGAAGTCAATTAGATATGAAGAAAACCCTGAATTTGTCCGAAAGAAAAGGGATGCTGGGAAATTGAAATACTGGATAAATGTAAACCTCTGAGTAAACCGTAAACAACTGGCAAAAAGGTCGTCATCACCAAAAGGATGATGGGATGAAACACACACAGCTACTACCACCAAAAGGATGGTAGAGCAAAACACAATCGCACAATCTGACATTAATGACTATGACAGACCCCCTACCAAAAGGATGACAGAGCAAAATACAAACATAAATAAATATCGCACAACCTATCACCAACCCAAGTGACAGACCCCCCACCAAAAGGATGACGGAGCGAAACACACACAAACAATATCGCATAATCTATCACCAATCTAAGTGACAGACCCCCTACCAAAAGGATGACGGAGCGAAACACAAACAAACTATCGCACAATCTATCACCAATCCAAGTGACAGACCCCCCACCAAAAGGATGACGGAGCGAAACACAAACAAACTATCGCACAATCTATCACCAATCCAAGTGACAGACCCCCCACCAAAAGGATGATGCAGCGAAACACAAACAAATATCGCACAATCTGACACCTATCCAAGTGACAGACCCCCCACCAAAAGGATGACGGAGCGAAACACAAACAAATATCGCACAATCTATCACCAATCCAAGTGACAGGCCCCCCACCAAAAGGATGAAGGAGTGAAACTCACACCGGCCACTACCACCAAAAGGATGATAGGAAAAACACTATCGCACAATCTGACACCAATCCAAGTGACAGACCTCCCACCAAAAGGATGACGGAGCGAAACACAAACAAACTATCGCACAATCTATCACCAATCCAAGTGACAGACCCTCCACCAAAAGGATGACGGAGCGAAACACAAACAAATATCGCACAATCTATCACCAATCCAAGTGACAGACGCCCCACCAAAAGGATGACGGAGCGAAACACAAACAAATATCGCACAATCTATCACCAATCCAAGTGACAGACGCCCCACCAAAAGGATGACGGAGCGAAACACAAACAAACTATCGCACAGTCTATCATCAATCCAAGTGACAGATCCCTCACCAAAAGGATGACGGAGAAAAACACAAACAAATATCGCACAATCTATCACCAATCCAAGTGACAGACCCCCCACCAAAAGGATGACGGAGCGAAACACAAACAAATATTGCACAATCTATCACCAATCCAAGTGACAGACCCCCCACCAAAAGGATGACGGAGCGAAACACAAACAAATATCGCACAATCTGACACCAATCCAAGTGACAGACCCCCCACCAAAAGGATGACGGAGCGAAACACAAACAAACTATCGCACAATCTGACACCCATTCAAGTGACAGACCCCCCACCAAAATGATGACGGAGCGAAACTCACACTCAAACACTATCGCACAATCTATCACCAATCCAAGTGACAGACCCCCCACCAAAAGGATGACGGAGCGAAACTCACACTCAAACACTATTGCATAATCTATCACCAATCCAAGTGGCAGACCCCCTACCAAAAGGATGACTGAGCGAAACTCACACTCAAACACTATCGTACAATATATCACCAATCCAAGTGACAGACCCCCCACCAAAAGGATGACGGAGCGAAACTCACACAAACTATTGCACAATCTATCACCAATCCAAGTGACAGACCCCCCACCAAAAGGATGACGGAGCGAAACACAAACAAATATCGCACAATCTATTCGCGGCGGTTGTTATTCGCGGCGGTTGGGTCAATGTTGTTTTAAGGATGAGAAGGAAAAGGGTTTAGCGGCGGGAGAAGGTGATGAAGAAGAGGGGTAGTGAATAGCGCTTGATTTAGGGTTCCTGCGGCGTCGTTTTTGCTCTGAAAAGGGTTTTAGGGTTTGAAAGGGGTAGTGAACAGTAGAATTCAATTTAGGGTTTTGGAGTGAATTGGGGATCCACCATTTTGATGAACAGTATCCTTCCCCTTCAAATTAGGGTTGTTTGCCTTTCACTTATAATGCCAACTGATCTTCACCTTTGGACCCTTCCTGGGCTGCGAAACATGGGCCACCTTCCACTTTCCGTTTTCTTCTCCTTTTTTTTCTGAATTCTTTTATTTTTTATTTTCTTAACATTAATTAACATTACTATAGAGAAAACTAATATATTAACATAACTAAATAATAAATAAAATATTAACAATAACAATTAAATAAACATTAAAAAATATATATAAAAACAAACTAAAGTTTATAAAAAACAGAATAATAATAATAATAATAATAATAAATATTATTAGTAACATTAAAAAAAGAAAGAGTTTAAGAAAATAATATTCACAAAATGTTCTTAGGCCACGTGTCACACCTTAATTGGTCAAAAAGATAAAATTCTGGAAAAAAAAACCAACCAATTGCGGGCAGACACATGTCTAAATAACAAGAAAATAAGCGGGCAATGCAAAAGTAAAAAATAGAATCGAAAAATGCAAAAATATTTGAAAATGGGTAGGACAAATTTAGGGTATGACACCACTATCCGAGCAGTGCAGTTGACCCAGGACGATGAGCACAAGCTACTCATCCCTACTTTCACATGGAAGTCATAATAGTCATCCATTGTGAGCCTGAACACTCAGCCCACAACAGAGACCATTGGACAAACGCTAGAGGCTCACTATCTGCAAAAGGATCATGTATTCTATTTTTTACTAGGCATGGCAAAAAAATCCGGACCCGTCGGGGCCCTCCCAGACCCGCCCCGAAATTAGCGGGGAAAACCCGGTTTGAGTGGGTACGGATGCGGGTGCGGGGAAAATCCGACTTTTAATTACGGGTGCAGGTACGGGTGCGGGGAAAATCCGACTTTTAATTACGGGTGCAGGTACGGGTGCGGGGAGACACTAAGACTCGCCCGCACCCGGCCCTGCCCCCAAATAATGCATTTTAGTTTAATTCTCTTATTTTACTTATTTTAATATTCATTTATTAATTATATTTTTAATTAAATTATTAATACCTTTATTGCAATTAAAATAATTAAATTAATCAAATTGATATTCATTTACTAATTAAAATTTTAATTAAATAAATAATTAATTTATTAAAATAATCAATTTTTAAATTAAATTATTAATTTTTATTGCAATTAAAAAGAAATTAATTTTTTTTTGGGTGGGGGCGGGGCGGGTGCGGGTGTAACCGTTCTCTAATAGGGGCGGGTCTGGGCAGTAAATTTTTACCCCCGATTGGGTTTGGGGGCGAGGGCGGGTGTTTACATGGAGGCGGGTGCGGGTATAATAAAACCCGCCACTGACCCGCCCCGTTGCCATCCCTATTTTTTATCCTTTCTCACTCACCTCTTCACCCGAACTGACTTAAGCATCAGAGTGTCTGCAGGTACACCTCCATCTCTGTCGACCGTTCAAGACCACAAATGTGTTGCTGGCCACTCACCTACTCTAATCCACAAGTTAAATAATGTAAACACCAATTATTTTTTGAAAATTCCGGTAAATATTTCAATGCAAATTTCAAATATTTTGAAATTTCCAATAAAAAATAAGGGTAATTTTGATATTTCTGATAAAATACTCACTGTTTTTTAAATTTCTAGTAGCTCGTTCGAAATTTTCGATATCGTTCCACATATTTCAAATTTCCATCCCAACACTGAATTCAAAATTTTTAAAATGATTTTGTAGAATTAGTATTATTTTTTCATATATTTTTGGGGTTGTCAGATCTAACTGGGTGTTAGATAAAATCCTCGAGAAACTTTGAAAGGTGAAACCCAACGACGAAAGCCCGAATTATAAACTGCCAGGCCCATAAATAAACAAACAGTTCGATTTTCCTTCTTCCTCTTCAACGTTCTCACACTTCTCATCATTGCATTCTACAGCAACCAAACATGGAAGAATCACACCATCACCACCAAGACTGTAACACTCAAAACTCCGCCGGAGCACAATCACCGCCCACCACTGGAACCTGCTGCAAGTGCGGCGGTCCCACAACTTTCGCACCACCGCCGGTATCACCTGCCTTCTCAGAAATATCTCCACCGCCAACTTACCGTCCCATCCGCGCTCCGGCCATCCCACCGGACCCACACTCACAGCGTGCGATCATCCTTTCTCCGGTTCCACAAGCCCAACACGTCCCCGTAGCTTCGCCACCTTACCAATTTCAAATCCCGATCAAACGTATCCAATCCCCCGACGACATTCGCCGACTTCAAGACTCTGAGTCCGGCCAAAACTTCGTCGGATTCGTCGTCGCGCTTTCCGAATCCATCCGCGGTCGTAAAATCTCTGATCCTTGTCACCAATCTGAAACCATCAACACCATTGTCTCCATTCTCGAAACCCTAACTCAATGGATCGATGAAATTCCACCCGCTCAACAAGCTGCACGTTACGGAAACATTGCTTACCGAACCTGGCACGAACGCCTTGTCAATTCCGGTGAATCCCTCATGTTTCGGTGCCTCCCGAAGGATCTCCAACCAGCCGCTGTTGAACTTGTTCCATATTTTTCCGATAGCTTCGGGAACTCGAGCCGAATCGATTACGGTACCGGACACGAGACTAATTTTGCGGCATGGCTGTATTGCTTAGCGAGGTTGGGGGTGATTAGAGAAGAGGACTACCCGGCTATAGTAAGCAGAGTGTTTGTAAGGTATCTTGATTTGATGAGAAAGTTGCAATTGGTTTATTGTTTGGAACCTGCAGGGTCACATGGTGTTTGGGGGCTTGATGATTATCACTTTTTGCCCTTTATATTTGGTTCTTCACAGTTGATTGATCATAAGTATATGAAACCGAAATCGATTCATAATAGGGATATATTGGATAATTTCTCAAATGAGTATCTTTATCTTGCTGGTATTAGTTTTATTATGAAGGTGAAGAAGGGTCATTTTGCTGAGCATTCACCTATGTTGGATGATATTAGTGGGGTGCCTAATTGGAAGAAGGTTAATAGTGGTTTGCTTAAGATGTATAAAGCTGAAGTCTTGGAGAAGGTTCCCATTATGCAGCATTTTCTTTTTGGATCCCTTATTAAGTGGTATGTTTGCATCTTGGTTTTTTTCTATTTATTCAAATGTTTTGCTTGTTTTGCTTCTTTCTCTCATTAGATTTTGTGTTATTGTTGCAATTGTATGAGGATTTTTTTTATCTACTGTTGGAGAAAATCATGTTTGACGAGTGTTTTGGAAATTGTCTCTCAGTGAGGGTTCAACCCGTGGTTTGCCATGGCGTGGGAACTAGTCCTTCCGCATGAGGCAACAACAGTTGGTTATTTGCTTGTATAGGTTATTTAATTGTAATTGAAGTTCGGTTATCCAGATCGCATGACATGGCAGCCTTTCCATCTATAGGAAATAGGAAGAGTAACCAGCTAGACATTTACCATTATTGTCTTATAGACCAAGTGTTGGTGTCACTATGACAGAAGATTCATTTTGATGGTTTTCTTACACCCGTGCCGACCACGTGTCATATTTAGGTATAATAATATAGATTAAGAAGATGAGACCATTGCTCTAGAGAAGAATAAATCAGCAAAACAGATTCTTGATGAAAATTGAAAACTTTGCTTGATAACAGCATTGTCAATTTTCCACTATGGCGTATTTGGCGCAGCCGTCATAGGCCACAGCACCAATTATATACACATATTTACGTCAGAGGCTGCAATTCCATGTTTATGTGCAGGTTTTTGACTGGTCTCCACGATCCGTCATCTTTCCATTAAATTAATTTATGTATCTGCTCCTGAATGGTGAATGTAAACAATGGGTTGTAATCTGTCATAATCCGTGTTGAGGCTCAGAGATCCCCTCCTGATACTTTTTATCAACAATCATGTAAAGTTGTAACCATGCCCCATTAATTAGAATTAATTAGACCATGATAATTTTCTTGCGCCCTTCTATGGAACTTAGATAAGTTTACTTATAAATAACCGAAAGGCGATACTTTTGTTTTCAATCCAGAATGGCGATCTTGAGTTATGGACTAAACAGGTGGCTGGAGTGTGAGTCATGAGACTTTATATGTTTGTTGTGCCTTTGTCATTTATGGAATTTCTAGTGGTCAAATCAGGATTCATCTTATCAAAGCATTATGGGTTAGTTTATGTAATTATCATGTATTATTGAAGTCAGATAATCTCATTTGGCTTTGTCTGCCTTGATTGTCTCTTAAGTTTGACAATTGATCAAAAGCAAACTGAACTTGTTTTTTTTGTTCACCCTTGGATAAATTTCTTCAGTGAATTTACACAGCTTGTGCTTCAGTAATAATTATATATTACTCCATTTAAGTGATGAAGTTATGTGAAGTGTTTGAGTCAAGGAAAGATTGATGTTTGCAATATTTGTTGCCAGTGGTGATGCATTTCAATTAATTAGACATGATTGCATTTGCATTTGTTGCATATTTTGGACATGGATCGTAACATAAATATCAATTCATTCTGATGTATCATAGTTTATAGTAAGATTTGATTTGTGATTTGTGATTTGTTGTAGATTATTTTGATTCAAGATTGAAAACTCGATTTGATAACCATATTTTATGTTTTTTCTTCTGTTAGGGAATAATCGTTTGAGTTACATTGCTGAGGCGAAGACATGGACCGGGCACTATATTATATTTGTAGCAGTTATATAATCGCTTTGTTGAACTTGTTCTCTGTCAACTTGCTTAATCTTCCGTTCATGAGAGTAAAAGATAGTGGTTAGAGTTCCTTCCTATTATATGATGACGAAAATGTTATGCTTCCGAAGAATGGTCATAAGCATGCAAGATCTGGTTAATGTGTTTATTCTACTAGAATAGATTCTGAGCAGCTTAGTACAGATAATCCTTTATCTTGTGATAAGATATGGAAATTATTAAATTTTGTAATGAATAACTAATGTTCAAAATTTCAATGAGTGGTTTCCAACTTTATATTCTTTCTATCTTTTGAATGTTTCTTTTTTTATTAAAAAGATTAAAAAAACGCTTAATTAATTTACTTAATATCTTTTTTTATATTAACTTCGGTTTATTTTGGTCTCTTAATTAATATATATATATATATATATATATATATATATATATATATATATATATATATATATATATATATATATATATATATATATATATATATATATATATATATATATATATATATATATATATATATATATATATATATATATATATATATATATATATATATATATATATATATATATATATTATAGTAGTCTCTAAATTCATGGCTAATTGATGAAAATGACATTTTGGAGATTTAATAGATTAATGTGGATTTTTTTTAAAGTTAGGAGATTAAAATGAATTCTATAAAATTATTTGATTATTTGTCAAAATTTATTACTTCCTTTATTTTAAAATAAATTTAGTTGATCAGTTTAGATAAATTAAAAAAAAGATTATAAATGAAAGAAAAATGATATTTCTTTATTAAAATATTGTGTCATGTATTGGTGTACTTATTTTTATTATAAATTTAAAGTGAAGATATTGAATTGAGAGTATAATTGGGATAATCCCGTTTCAAAATAAATATTTGTAAAAATTATTCGTCCAAAATAATATATCAATAGAAAATAAGAATAATTTGATTTTGTTGAGAAAAATCGATTTTGAATATTTGTTAATATTTATGAACTAATATAAATTTATAAACTAGTTTTAACTATCAAACTTAGATAAAAGATTGAAGAAAGAAGAATGTTTTAGTTGTGCTTTCAAAGTAAATTTTTGGTGTATTTTTATATTGGCGAAAAGTAGTATTTATAGTATTAAAAATGCAAATATTACACTAATGTAATAATTGGACTTACTATTTTAACTTTGACAAATTATGTATCTATAATAATTTATCATTACTATTTAAATAAATATTTCTAAATAATAATATTATTTTAATGATAATAATAATAATATTATAACACCCCCTTTGAAATATCTATTACGGTGCTCCATCGAAGTCTTATCAAGAAGAAATTTATGAGAACATATATTGATTCGTTAAAAACCTTATTAGGAAAAACCCATTGGAATAAAAACCTTAATAAGGGAAAAAGAGTACAAATGATGCTCCCCCTCAACAGAGCACATATAATTCTTCTTTTAAAGATCTTGAAGTTGATGCATTCCAATATTTTGTACATGCTTCTTGAGAATTGATGTAGGAAGTGCCTTTGTGAAGAGATCTGCCATATTATCACATGAACGAACATATTAAATATTAACATATTTGTTTCTTTCAAGTTCTTGTGTGAATGAGAAGAACTTTGGAGGGATATGCTTGGTTCTGTCACTTTTAATGTAACATTCTTTCATTTGTGTAACACATGCAACATTCTCTTCATACAAAATTGTTGAATTATTATCAATGGATAAACCAGATGCTCCTTGGACATGTCTAGTTACCGATCGCAACCATCTACATTCTTTGTTTGCTTCATGAAGAGTAATCACTTCAGCATGATTTGAAGAAGTTGCTACAAGTGTTTGCTATTGCAGTGTTATCATATGTAAATATATATATCCAGTATGTGATTTAGCATTATGTGAATCTGACAAATATCTTGCATCTGCATAACCAAGTAAAACTGATTCTGTATTGTTAGAATAAAATAAACCAAGGTCTGATGCACCTCGAAGATATCAGAATATATGCTTTATTTCTTTCCAATGTCTTTTTGTAGGACATGAACTGAATCTTACTAATAAATTTACTGCAAAAGCTATATTAAGTCTTGTATAGTTAGCAAGGTACATTAGTGCTCCAATGACACTGAGGTATGGTGCTTCAGATTCAAGATTTTCTTCATTACCTTCCTTAGGTCTAAATGGATCATTTTTAATGTTAAGTGTTCTACCCATCATTGGAGTACTTAAAGGGTTTGCTTTGTCCATGTTAAATATTTTCAATACCCTTTATGTATAATTTGATTGATGTACCAATATACCATTTTTAGTATACTTAATTTGTAAACCAAGGCAGAACTTTGTTTTTCCCAAATCTTTCATTTCAAATTCTTTCTTTAAGTAATCTCTGAAGGTGAGAAAAACACTTAGAGGGGGGGGGGGGTGTTGAATAAGAGTTTTAAGAAATATGGCAATAAAAACAACTCAAGATTTTTATCCTGGTTCGTTGAACTCAACTACTCCAGTTCACCTTATCAAAGATGATTTGCCTTTCTCCACAAGGACTTAATCCACTATTGATCAACTGATTACAATAGAAAACACTAAGAACAATTGTCTTAGTCTTCTCAAGAACTACTGACCACACCTTGGTCTTCTTAAGGAACTTCTTACAAATTAATGTAAACTAACAAGTGTTTGATTGCTTCTAATAAGCTGTATCACAACTGTGATATTTACACTTAAGATTAAGTACAACAACAAAAACTATACAGTTTTATGAGAGATCAAATGATAAAGATCTTTGTAGGATTTTTCTCTTTGGTGAATCAAGCGTGTGTTTATTTCTAAGTAAACTAGCAATGAGCAAATGGTGAGTTGTGAATTAGCAACCTCAAAATGTTGTAGAAGTTCTCCTTTTATAGCTTTTCCAAATTGCTTTGAGTGATGTGCAGCTGTATATAATATTAGATTATAAGACTTTTCATTACCCAAAAAGTATGGGCAGAGATATGCTTTCTGCAGAAAGGTATGGTTTTAGAAGCCTTGGGATTTGCACCACGTCACTTCTTTGGACAAATTAGCCGTTGGTTACTTTGGAGTCAGCACCACGTCTAATCAAGTTTTTCAGCTTCTTCAACAAGCTTCCTTCAGGATGAAGTCTTCATAATCTGCACTTCAGAACATGTAGCACGCTTAAAGGGATGAAATATTTTAAGATGATCAGAGCTACAATGAATGAGATGATCAGAGCCTTGATAGATGATCAGATCTTAATATATCAGAGTCTCAATCTTGATTAGAGTCTTCATCAGAGTGTGCAGCAGTATGTGCTAAGAGCGTGAATATTAATGATGAGAGTCTGGTTATCAAAGCCTCTGAACTTGCAGTGAAAAGAACTTCAGAGTCTGATTAGATCAGAGCTTTTAACTTTTGTACACTTCTTTCATTAACGCTTCAGATCATTCTATAGCTTCTGCTTCAGATCATTCTGTAGCTTCTGCTTCAGATCCTTCTGGCAGCGCTTCAGAATCTTCTGATAGTCTTGCATCTGATGCTTCAGAGCCTTGCATAGTTTCTTGTACTTATGTATATTTTGCTTCTTTAAGAGTATTAACTTTGATACCTGAAACAATAATACTAGAACAGATTTTAGAGTATATATTTTCTTAATACAAAATTCCATAAAAGTTATCATCAAAACATAGAGATATAAGAAACACCAATCTGTGTTCTAACAATCTCCCCCTTTTTGATGATGACAAAATATAGGGGATTTTGTTCAATAAAGAGAAATAAAATATATAACTCCCCCTGAGATTAAGAATCTCCCCCTGAAATGAATACTCTAATAGAAGAGAACACTTCCCTTTTTGCTTGAGTATATTTCAGAACCTGGTAGAAATCCTTTTTATGCTTTCTTGAATCAGAGTCTGATGATTTCCTTCAATTTAAGAGTTCTGGTATATCTTCCAGAATCAGAGTCAAATTTTCTTCAAGGATCAGAGTCTGGTTGGGTAATTCTCAGGGTAACTTCAGATCATTTTTGTCAGATGAATTAATAAGATCTGAAAGTCTTAAGATTCAATGTTAGATTAAAACAATGTCTGAATTTCATTTTAGTATTGCTTATGGATTGAACAATCAAATTCTCTTTCTCCCCCTTTTTGTCATAATCAAAAAGAATTTTAAAGACAGAAAAGATAACAGAAGAAGAGAAAAACACAACACATAAATGAAAAACATAATTGCCAGAATCATATAGATCAAAATAGAACAAACAGATAAGATGTTCATACAGCAGATGACAGAAAATAGAACAAACAGAAAACAAGTGCAAAACAAGAATGCAAAAACATGAGGAAGAAAACTAGGGCTGGCGAGAAGCAATCAAGGTCATAAGATCCGTAATCTTAGCAGTGGACTCTTCTTGCTTGGCCATCCAAGTCTTGATTTCTTCAGTAGTCTGTTCCTGTTTTATCATCCATGTTCTGATTTCCTTGACTTCTTGGATAACATCTGGAATCTCAGTCTTCATCTCAGATGCAGAAGGTTCAGAAGCAGATGCAGTTGCCATTGGATGATCAATCTCCATGTCAGATGCAGGAGTATCTTATATCATTGCAGAATCTTCAGCAGGAGCATCTTCCAGAAGAAACACTGGGGTTGTGATAATGCTCAGCAGAGTCTGTCTGACCATTTTAGCAAACTTTGCCTTTGCATCATCAGCATAGAGTTTTCTGAGGTCAGATGCAGCAGAGTTGAACTTAGAGATGAATTTGTTCCAAGAAGCTTCAGATTCAGCAGGATCCATACTAGCCATGCACTCTTTCTCTATAGAAGCAATCCTCATACGTATTTCCTTCTTGAAATTCTTGAACAGAGTAGAAACATCTGATCTGGGTTTAGGGTTCAGAAAGTCTTCTATGGT